TAATGATAATTATAACATCCAGATGCATCATAACTCATAATATGGAAAATTTGGAAGTAAAAGTCCTGAAAATAATGTTTAAAAAAAGGTTTAAAAAATGGTCTTTATGCTTTTTTTCTTTTGGTTTTGGGGGGTGAAATCTGAGACAAGTTCTGAGCAGGTTTCATGAGATTCAGTCCCGGTGTGAATCTGAAGGGCTGAAACAGGCTGTGATGCTGTGACTCTCAATGCCAGTGCTTTCTGTGAAGCTGAAGATCTGTTGACCTTGACCGAGCAGCTGGCAAATCTGAAAGGTGTCTGTGTGTTGGAGGAATTCAGCGCGAATGAATTGAAGTTTTCCTGTAAGTGTTGGCAAAGTAGTGTGATTATAGTTCAATCTTTACAGCTCCATCTGCAGCAATTGGATTGGAGGTTCCCATGACTGTTCAAATGCGGCCGTCTGCTCATCTAGCCATGAAGAACTCCATTTCAGCCCGTTTATAATGCAGGTCTGAGGTCTTCTGGGTAAAACAGATCAGTCATTCGACTCCAGGAGACGCTCTCAGTATTGCAGATATTCTATTCAGCTCATAACATGAGAAAGAAAGTCATTTTTTTTATCAAGTTATCAGCTTTGATAGGCTGCTGCAGACTCGAATGAGGCTCACAGGTCACTCTTTCAGAGACTTCATGGAGATCTCAGTTATTATTTCCACTAAAATATCACGGTTCTTTAGGAGAAATACAAATAAACACACATGCGTCAATAGATGTCATCCGGTACAGTTATAGAGCTGTAAAACTAATGTAGAATTATTGATTTTTTGAAATAGTTAACAATTTGCATTTTGATATTATTTTAATGACTTTAATACTTTAATAGTTCTAGTTTTAATTAACAGTATCAACACTGTTCTATTTTAAGTTATGTATATATATTTTGGCCTATTTTAATAGTTTTAGTTTAACAGTTTTAGTTAACGATGACACTTTTCTGTTTTAAATTATTATTATTATTATTATTTGCATATTTTAGTACCATTAAGTTTGTTTGTTTGTTTGTTTGTTTGTTTTGATATTATTTTGATTAATTGAATAGTTTTAGATTTAGTTAACAATAACAACATTGTTCTATTTTAGATTATTTATGTATTTGTTTTGCATATTTTTGGACCACTAAGAATTTTTTTATTTTATTATTATTATTATTATTATTATTATTATTATTATTTTTTTTCATTTTGTTTAATTTTTTTTTTTTTTGCAGTTTGTTATTAATTAATGAATTTAATAGTTTTAGTTTTATTAACAATAACAACATTGTTCTGTTTTAATTTATTAATATATATTTTCGGCCTATTTTAGGACCATTACGATATATTTTAAAATTTATTTATTTATTTATTATTGCATTTTGCATTTTGATATTATTTTAATTAATTTAATAGTTTTAGTTTTCTATTATACATTTTTTTTGCATATTTCAGGATCATTAAGGTTTTTTTTTTGCATATTAATGACAATTAACCACAATTACAATCACAAACTGTAAGTGAATTATAAGTGTATTATAGTATTTTTTTTACAGTACTGAGAGTAATTATTAATAATTTGAGACATTAAGATCTCATATAAATACTTAAGAGGGAGACTTAAACAAAACTTTCCATTTGCTCTGATTTCTGTCCAAGCGAAAAATCAGACAAAATAAAGAGACATAATAGTCATCTGTTTCCTGTAGGGTTAGTAACATGTTTGCATTTGTCTCCTGTTTCATCACTTGCATGTCAAAACTTTTAACAGTTTTAACAGCATTTCCAACTTTTGGTTGAACATTTCACAGATGATTATATGGCACAGCTGGCACAGCGACGTGTTCGCTCAAACGAATTAGCACTAAACCGCTGAACACTAATATATGCAGAGCGCATTATTTCTGTATTTATAGCTCGTCGTCTGCAGGAACAGAATGCAAAAAAACACAGTATTCTTCCCAAAGCAATTACCATATAAAGGACAAAACCGCTGTGAAAGACTGACAGATTCAGTACATCAGAGGAGGAGGAAAAAGGGTCAACGTTTTGAATGGACGGCTCGGGTTCGCTGAACAAAACCACCCACCACGACTCAAACCATTGACAACATGCGAGAAGGTTACGCTGTTTGTGCGATAAAAGACGTCTTTTCCTTTCAGAACTTTGCTGTCATTTAATGGCTTTTGTGCTTTTCTCCGAGTCTGGACAGCTGTGTGTTTTCAGAGTAAACTGTGCTTGCCAGGGGCGCCTTAAGGTAACCAAAACCCCCTGGGCTACAGCATTACAGGAGAAATACAGTAGATCCCAGAAAACCTCTTTTTTTCTTCTTTTTTTTAAGCTTCCTAACTATCATTTGTCAAATTTAGTTTTTTGTCTTGTTAATATGCCAGTTAACATTCTCAACACTGTTCTACGTAAAATGCGAATATAAGCGAATATGCAAATTCACTCTTTGCCACAAGGTGGCGCTTGTGGAACAGCAGAATTATATAGCCGTTACATAAAGTAAACACTACGTTATTACGGGCAGGGTGCGATTTGCTGGGGAGGATGGGGGGGATTTCCCCCCCTCTGGTCTACGCATCCCTGCCTCTGCTGAATAATTTTTATCTCTGGTGGGGATAAAAAACATCCCGCGAACAGCGCCGAAGTCCAGATCTGAAACAAAAGATTTGCGATATGCGCTTTGAAATCCAGATCTGAATCAAATGATTCGCGATACGTGCTTTGAAGTCCCGATCTGAATCAAATGATTCGCGATATGCGCTTTGAAGTCCCGATCTGAATCAAATGATTCACGATATGCGCTTTGAAGTCCCGATCTGAATCAAATGATTC